GTCTTTTATGCTGATGAAGCACAGAGTGCAGATAGGGTGGAGTAGGTGGAAGATGGAGATAAGGGACGAGTGCATCAGAGTCAGAGAGGCTGAGGTGGTTTGGAAGAAGCTCAGAGGAGGTTCATGGATGTAGTGACGGAGGACATGAACAGAGTGTGAGGAGGATGCTGGGGTGGACGACCTGCACGGGACTGAAGCGTCTCCGCTGAGCGGACGTCCCGCAGGCTTGTTGTGCAGAGATCAGCGAGGAGACATTCAGAGTGAAAATAAGCCCACAGGGATTTCTTCTAGTTCACCCCATGATTTGAATGTTTGGCCGCGTCTGTAACAAGTTACAGTTATTATCTCCCACCTGTTGCTATTCTTGCCTCCGCTGAGAGCACGCATGCTGAAACACCGTAGGCCTTAAATAACCCCAAATGGAAAATAACGACACTTCCTGCGGCTCTGCGCCGACGCACAGCTTTCGTCTGCTCCACCTGCTCCGATACTTTGCACCATCAAACTGCTGCTAAGTGACCTAAAAATAATCAGACGCGATCAGATGTTAAAGTCTGTTAAAGTAAGACGAACTGTTTGGATTATGAGAGATGCACAGGAAGGGGAAACCCAGCAGTTTGTCACATCTCACTCCTCTTCATGCAGCCGCCTTCAGACGCGAGCAGCTAACGGCTAACGCCTTTGTCCTTGTTCTCGGGGACTTTTATCCAAACGCATCACAAACACTTCCTCGTTAAAGCCGCTGCTTCTCTGAGTCGTTACGTCACAGCGTTTGAACTTCTGCAGAAAAATGTCACCATCGCTGCGATCAGCAGGAAAGCTGAACGCAATCACGCCGAGGCAGAGCCGACGACCGTCACTCAGTCCAGCCTTTAACTACAGATGCACGAAGCACCAGAAGCATCGGGCTGACGCATTATGACCGTCTGAACTGCACCTCTGCATTTTGAATGACATCATCAGTGAGGTCACTGCACTAACAGCGAGCCAGAGCTTTACTGAAATGTTGTTGATCAGCACGCTACGCCAACGTTTCAAACACATCAAACACCGAAGCTGCGGTCGCCACGTGTCATCGGGCAGGTGCAGCCGCTCACCTGAGCCTCTGAGGTGAGCTGCTGCTCACTAACGTTCTGGTTTGGTTCACGGCGCCGTCTGAGCGTGAGTCAGCTGACCCCGCCGCTCGGAGGATCCCGAGGAGCTGAAAACGAGGACGCACGAAAAGTACGGACAGAGGCCTCACCCTTCTCAGGTAGTCCGCCAGCTGCTGCGGGCTCCACGCCATCACGTCCGACCTGGACGGCATGCGGTCCGAACTCATCCTGCTCGATGCTCAAAGGCACGACGTCAGCTGCTGTCAGAGCCAGAGCACGCTAACATCTGAGAGAAAGGCGATCTTTGAGCTCGCTCCTCGTCCTCTGAGGAAGTGATCGAGCTTGTAGTTTCTGCGCCGTTATTCTCCTTCAGCCCGCGGTCTGACTAACGGGCCTCGCCGCCTCTTCCTGTGATGACTCAGACGTCTCTGAAAGACAGATAAGCAAAGAGCTGCGAGCGTCTCAGCTTTTACTTCCCCAAACCGAGTCGTCCGGTCTAACTGCGCGAGCGTCCGTCCGGCAGCGCAGGCAGCGACGAGCACGCAGACATGTCACCCGGGCCCAAAATGGCTTCCTCCTCCTCCACTCCTTCAGTCTCTCTCTCTGCGTCTCTCTTTCCTCTCTCTCTCTCGCTCAGAGGAAGTGAAGTGGGGGATGGATGAAGGCAGCGTCACCCCCACCCCCCGTCTGACCACAGAGCGGAACAGCGTCTGCAGCTGCACCCACTCGCTGCAGCGACGCTGTCGAAATGCCAAACAGAGGAACAAACCAACCCCGGATCAGCTGGCACTGCCCCGACCCCGGGTCAGCCCGACGGAGGGCCTCCATCAGCGCCGAAGGCCAGGGTCGTTACCCAGCATGCATCTGTGCAGTCATGGCACCTCTGAAAAATGTACTCCAAGTATTCAAAGTAAAAGTATTGTTTACCAAAACAGTTTGTGTATCGGGCTGTGAAATGTTTACATCTGCTGTTTAACATGGGGGTCTATGGGGGCGGGCTCACTGCTGCCTCTGCTGGACGTCAGAGGAACTGCACCGCTCAGAGCAAACCTGAAAAAGCCGGGACGAAAACAAGAGCTCACATTTTATTCGTGATCGAACACAGAAAACAAAAGATTAAAGTGAGAGAATGAAAAGCTCGTGCTGAAGAGGCGGAGGAAGATTTACCAGCTGATCATGTGACCTGTCAGCAGCTCGGTCACATGATCGGGGATAAAAAGAGGTTGTCAGAGCTTCACCAACATGAATCATGTTCCTCACCGTGAACAGTTCATCAGCGTACTCAGAGAAGCTGGAGGACTCTCTGTGGGACGAGGCCGATGACCGTGAGCTTCAGCACATGAGTCTCAGGAACACTCCCAGAAACCTGCTGGCGTGCCGTCCACACGTGCAGGTTACAGCTCCACCACAGTGGAGGTGGTCCGTCCCAGCCAATCATGGACGCCGACACCGATGATGTTTTAAAACGTCAGTTTTAAACGAAACGATAAATTCAGAAACACGTCGTCCCACTTTGAAGTCTCACCTGAGTCGTTTAAACTCATGGATGCTTTGGCACTAATGTGTCTCCATACAAGCTGGAGATAAGGATGGAGTGATGGATGCGCTCATGTTTCACTTCTTCACACTAAGTTTAGCTCAGGAAAGCCCCTCGTCTGCTTCCTCCTCCTTCCCTGAGGTCACACGGCTCAGTGACTCAGGAGCATGCAGCACCATGGCAGAGGTGCATGATGGGAGAGCAGACATGTAAAAGAGGCGGTGGCAGCTGACGGTAACGGCTCGCTGCAGCATGAAAAACAAAACCCTGCCTCCATCACAGCCTTCTGGCTCCTGATTGGACCATTTCAGGAAGCAACAGCGTTTGTTTAATTACTTTATTTTTAAAAAATGACAAA